GATAAAATCTTCCCCTTTTTTTAAACACGTTTACTTCAAAAACAGGAGTATTTAAATTGGGAGCTTTTCGGAGAGTAATTTGACAATTCATTCATTGCTCTAACAGATAATAGGTACAGATAGGCTCTTTTCCTTCTCTCTTCAAACCTTACACTTTAACTGAAGCTATCTTTTCATTTTTTCATTCAAAAACATTTGCAAAGGGGCTTAGTGCCCAGTAGAGAGAAACAAACTTGTAAACAGTTTCAGTGCAATATAGTATCACAGGTACCATGATACACATTTGTACATGGTACGCTGGAACATAAAGAAGCAAACAGCCAGTTCCAATGGGAAGACAGGGAGGGTGTCAGAAAAGCTTCAAAAGAGTAAAATTTGAGGAGTCTTGGAATAATAAGTGCTCCCCATGTAAAAAGGGGAGAAGGGTATCCCAGCTGGGAGGGACGGGCAAGAGGCTGCAGCACAAAAGGAAGCACTGGAGGCGCAAGAGTAGGAAAAGGCAGTGGATAGTCTGGGGAGGAGGGAGGGTCCAGCCCACAGTGAAGAGTTCTATTCTGTGTAACAGGTTCAGATGAGCATTCATGAATTTCACTCTGGAAGCAAGGAGGGGATGGACTGATAGAATTAAGACTAGAGGCCAAAGAGGTCACAGTTATGGCCCAAGAGAGGGATGAGAGCCTTCACTGAGACAGGGGAGAAGATGAAGGTAAGAATGGTTAGAGAAGAAGGTCAAGGATATATATTATGTAGGTCTTCATGGCTAGCAGAGGGAGATGAGGGAAAAGGAAGATACTTTAGACAAAAAACCAAGGTGGTGGCACTATTAACTTAGGGAGTATGAGAAAGTCAGTGTGGGAAGAAATGAGAGTTCCACTTCATACACCGCCATGGTCAGGTTCCACAGGTAACAGGCCATGCAAATCTGAAGTTCCGAGAAGACCTGGGCTACAGGTAGATGAGGGGCAGCCTCCAGGACCCAGGTGGTAATGGAGCCAGGAGAGCGTGCAGGAGGCCCAAAGACACCACCTCATCTCACTTCCCAACCTCCAGCTGTCTACGGTATACTGACTCACCAGGGCCCAGCCTTTCCTGATAACTGCACACAAGTCTCTGTGGCTGGCTGTCTCTCAGAAACTTCCTTAACCTTTGTGGCCCTCATTGCTATTCCCTTATCCCCCTCTCAATTCCAGTGACATGACCATAATAGAGAACCGGGATCGTTTTATTCTCTGTTGAATGTATTAACTAGATGATGCTTCTGGTCTTCTGTCTCCCTAGAAGTGAGGAGAGATACCTCACTGCACATAAGATGAAAGATTACTTGATCAAAGATTACTTTCTATTCCTAACTAAAAATTAATGTAATATAATTCTGGTTTTCTACACTGAAGAAACAAAATGGTTTGAGGTTAAAATAAAATGAACGGTGGGGTAGGATTAAACTTTAAAGTCTCTTTATAATAATAAAAAAATGATTTTAGGTATTTTTAACCAGACTTTTTCAGTTTTTCAAAGACAGGCAGAGCGGCTGACTTTGTATCTGAAATCTGGGCAGGTACCAGTATTTGCATACAAGTAAATAACATTCTTTTCTCTTCAAAGAGCTTTTCTTTTTCTGAAGATCTCAAGAACAAAACTATGACAAGGAATTTAGAAGCAGGGCTAGTTAGATCCTGCCTGAATCTGCTTTCAGTTTTTCTAATCCCTTCTCAGTTCCCTTCCCCCTGAAGTTGTTATTATATAATTTAATGTCCTTCTAAGTGTGTAAGCTTTGGGTCCTCATCCAGGTCCTAAACTCTCTGCAAGCACAATCTTTCCTTCTGTGTCCCACGGCAACTGCTGCTTACATCGAGTGCGCACAGAAATATCTTCTGCTGAGAAAGTCTATCAGCTCCTGCTAGTGCTTTTCCCTTAGCCTACAGTCTAATCAAAGGGGGGAGCTGTCTACCAGAAAATGGTTCTGGAAAAAAAAAGCATAATAAAGTCTCTAACTCTGTAGTTATTATGAGATATTGGCTAAGTATCCTGAAATTTAATACTCCATCTGCTATTTAAAACCTTTTCAATTATGTGGGCAAGAAAACTAAAGTATTTTTCAACATGAATCCTCTGGTCTGTTTCCACAATATGCTCATTCCTAACCACAAGAAGTTCTCACACAAAGGTCCACTGAACTGAGAGTATTCTCCTAATTTTTGAGTTTAACAAACATTATCTTCCTGTGACAGGCCTGTTTCCGATGGTACTTACACATTGGTTTTAAATTTGTGTGGTGGCAGCACTGGGTTTTTGGCTCGCATTTCGAGTACTTCCATGTAATGAGGCTTCTTCTGAGGCCCACTACAAAGGCCTGTCAAGTTCTCAGGACTCGAATTTTCTTCCAAATGGTGTTCACCTGGGTCTGCAATTGTGATCCTTTGTAACCTATCAATAACCAGGTTGTCAGAGCTGCTGGAACGATCTTCTGCTTGACTTGAAACACGATGCTGAGGGAGATGCTCACCAGCTTCAGACGAGGAGGGCACCCTGGCTCTGCTGCTGGAAGCTGGGCAGCTGTTCACTGTGTACCAAACCTCTGAAGCCCCTGCATCGCCTCTGCGAGTAGGATGTACAAGTCCCTGTCGTTGTGAGGTTGTTTTAGATGACTTGATGTTGTCTACAGAGGAACGGCCAGGAACTAGTGATGAAGTATCAAGGATCTGGTCAGAGTTGTGGGCCTTATCCGTGTCCACACCTGCTACTGCTCTTTGCCTTAGCTTACGGTCTACACTAACAGGATGAAACAGTTTACTTTTCCCTCTAAATTCTTCATATTCTGCAATGGCAGCTCTCACTTTGGCAACAGAGTCTAATATCTTTTTACCTTTGTCGGGCAATTTGTAAATGAATTTTCTGTCAAATGGAAAAGAACACGTATACATTAGAGCCATGTTTTGAAACGTGAGATAGAAAGACAAAGCATTATGGTCAAAGGGAGAAAAATGGATCTTTAAGGCAAAAATCTGATTTCCAACTGCCCCAAAACAGGAATGAAATCAGACAGTCACTATGCAAATACCTCAAAAAAAAAACAAGGAGATGCAGGAAGAAAAGGGAATATGCCTCATTTGTCTCATCTAATTAGAATTTCAGCAAAAGTATTTTAAGCATATAAGTACCATATAAAACATTCCAAAAATCAGCAGTTTCTAAAGTGTGATCTCTAAGACCTTCCTGGGAAGGGAAGGTGGACAGGTCTGCAAGGTCAAAACTATTTTCATGAAAATACTAAGATGCCACTCGCTATTTCACTCTCATTTTCTCACACTGATACAGTGGAGTTTCCCAGAGGCCACATGATACGTAATGATATTGCTCTGACGGCTAACGGAATGTGTGTGCTTGTGTATTCTTCTGTTTTAAACATTTCTTGTTTGTAATTCTTAATACATTGATAAATATTCGTAAATATAACACCCATAAAACAAGAGTGCTTTGGGATGCTCAACAATTCTCAAGAGTATAAAGGGGTCCTGAGACCAAAAAGTTAATTCACTGCTATAGATGAAAATCCCATTCTCACAAAAGTCAAAAAACTTGTCTCTACTAGGAAGCCCCCAAGTGATCATTTGTCTCTTTTGCTGAGTGACAGAAGTTACTTTTCAGATTCCCTTTTCTTTACCTATACAATAAATGGGGAGGGAAGTTACATCCCAGGCCCTCTATTCTTTCTGTGACACTATATTCGTTCCTTTCCACAATTCCAACTATCAACATCTCTCTCCACTTGAGAGTCTTGTATTTTCCCAAACTTCTCCTCTCTCTCTTGAGCCTCATGACCTCTTCTCCAGCTTTTAACACGGTAAGCAGTTAATTCAACACACCCTAAGTAAAGTCAACCTGGGACCTAGCCCCACTCCTCCATTTTTCCTATTTTCATTAATGGTTCTCCATACCATATCTGGAAACTTCAGCCTTCTCCTTCAACTACGCATTCAATTCTTCCACGCCTAATGTAGTTTTTCCAATCCCCCGACTACCTTTCTATTTTACTTTCTTACAACCCCCTTGTTGGTAATCTCTCTGAAAATATCTTTCTGCTTCTTACTCCTTCAAGCCATCCTGCACCAAGTTGCTAAATTAAGCTTCCTAAAAAATACTACTAAAAATACCACTAATAAAAATCACTTCCATTATATAGTCCCCCTGCTAAAATCTGTTAAGTCGGCCCCCTGAATGAGAGTCAAACTTTCTCTGCCTAATAGACCACTCTTTACATCCCACTCTCTCTATTTCCTAGGGTTCCTGTACAAATAAGATCTAGGGATGAAATCGACAAGGTGTCTGGGGCACGATGAGGGGAGCGGGAGGAAAGGATGTAGGATTCAGAACTCCCTGGGGGCAACCGACACGGTAGCTGAGTAAATAAAACCAACGCGGAGCCAACGGAGAGCTGAAATGCCGGCCAGGACGTGGGCGGCTGTGCGGTCGCAGGCCGTCCGCTCGCGGCCGAATGGGCCGATCTGACTGAGGCAAGGTCACCTTCCAGGCAAGGGACGGGGTGAGGGAGCGGAGGGACACGTCCCGGGCAGCCCGAACCGAAGGAGCCTGGCAGGGACTCGGCGGGACCCAAGCTTACTCGTTGCGCAAAAGTCTCTCCTGGCGCTTCAACATCTCCTGCAGCTCCGCCAAACTCCGCCGCGCCAAGTCCTCGGGAGCTGGGGGCTCGAAGCCGCGGGCCTGCGAGCACATTCTGCGGGGGCTGCGGCTGGCGAGGCGGCGGGCACTCGGCTTCCTCGGCAGCCCCCGCTGCTGGCGCCGGATCCGCGGCCGGCGGGGACTCCGGGGCACGAGCGGGAGCCGCCATTTTCCCGGAAGAACAGGTCTTCTTCGAGCCGAATCGAGCTTTATTGAAACGCCGGAAACAGACACAGACAAGGAGAAGGGGGCGCCCGAAGGGGCGGGAAGGGGCGGAAGGGGCGGGGTGACGTCACGCCCCGGCTGAGTGTGCTTTCGCACCATTTGTCGTTTGTCTGTTCCGCGGCTTTTCGTCTGTGTAGTCAAAAAGTATTTACTGAGTGCCACCGTGATCTCGACAGATAGCCACGGCCCCTGCCGTTATGGAGGTTACCGAGTGGCGGAGGAGGCCGACATCAGTCAAGTAAGAATAAAACAATGTAGTAGGATTGGGATGGGCACCAGGGAAGGTATCTCTGAGAAGTGAAAGGCAAGTTGAATCCTGAGTGATGAGTGAGTGAGCCATTGGTGAGGGTGAGGGAGTGCACGACAGGGCTTGGGCTCCTAGCCCAAGACGTAGCGAAGTCCTCAAATGTTACAGTTGCAAGGATGCTTAGGGACTATCAGTGTGTCTTAATGGGGCTCTGTGGCATCTGGAGCAAGACCTTCCTCTGCGGCGCTGCCTCAGGCATTGCAAGACACTTGGTGTCTGGCTTCTGCCCACTGGTTGCTAGGTCACTCCCAAGTCGTTGTAACAGTCCAAAACGCGTCCCCTGACCCCTACACACACATTTCCAAAGGCCCGCGAGAGGTGATGGGCGTGGGAGATGCTGTCCGAGCCAGTTGAGAATCTCCTTCGCAATTCCCTATTTTGCTTATAGAGAGACAGAGGCACAAAAACTGAAGTGTTCCCAGGACGCCAAACTAGTCAGTGAGAGCATCAGATTTCGAATTCAAATCCCAGCTGCTCTTTGCATCACGTCAATTTGAAAATCTCCTTCTTCAATTTATGCCTGTTTCCAAATGCATAAAATTGTTAAAAAGTTTTTATTTTCTGGCTGTTGAGAAGAAGGCAGTATAATAAACATCACATCCAGTTCTTACCTTCTCTTTACAGTTCAGTTACCAGAGCTGTGTCCCAAAAGTTAGAGGAGGAAGTATGCAAGAGTTGTGACAGACATCGATTGGGAGGTTTGAAGGCCCCCGTAACCTCCAACACCACCTCCCCATTCTCTGATATGGAGAATTTTAATTTTCTCAGTCCTCTGTCAGGTGCTATGATAAACACAAGCGATTCCCTCCCAATCAGACAGAAGCTCTAGATAAAATCTGAAGCTACTCCAGGGTGCACGGTTGTCATTTCTGTATCCTCCCAATCTAGTCCTTTCTAATCAGATTAATGTATCAAAATTCTCAACATAAGCCTTGCTTTCAAGGACTTCAATACCTGCTTCAGCCCTGGCAAAATAAGCAATACTTGAGTCAGGTTCCCTGGCAGGCTCCCCCAAAACCTCACTCGTCCTGTCCCTGGGCACAGGTGGAGGCCTTTAGTCCTCTACAGCAGTCATCCCCATCTTCTAAGACCTTGGGCCACAGGTGCTCTCAAGGCAAGGATGCCTTTCTCTCAGACCTCAGAATTTTGTCCCTGGCTGTTGTCCTCTTGTGGAAGGCTGTCCCTTTTCCCCCAGCCTATTATAAATCTTGGCTCAAGTCTCACCTCCTCCCTGAGCCTTCCTAGATTATTCCAACCCGAGTTGCTCTTTCTTTTGAGCACAACTGTGAACCTCATTATGAACCCCACAATATGAAGCGCATAATGCTTCTCTCATTGTGTTGTGCATGGTGCTTTTTCCTTTCTAACAAAATTGTAAAGTCAGGGTGCTGTGTCTGTACTTTTCTGTCTCCCCGAATGCACGTAGCAGGTACTAATTGACAGAATCTCCCTCTCTCATGATATTTTTTTCTCCATATCCTCTTCTCTTAATGAAATGTCCCTTTTGTATATACAAACCTTAAGCTTTTCCATAAGTATTGACCATAATTACTGTGAAGCTATTTTCAACGGTATGGGATAGAATCTTTTACACAACATAGCTTAGGACTTCAGAATGTCATAATACAAATCTGAATTCCTAACAACGCCTGTGCGCAAACTGTCTAGCTCTCTTTTCAGTAACCAAGCAGGCTATTTGTGCTTCAAAATGAAAACAGGCAAAGTATTCTTTTATAATCCATCAAACAAACAAAAAAGATGAGTGTTTAGAACATGAATTTTAACAGCAGTGTCTGAGGCAAGGGATGTGAAATGGAGAGATTTCACAAAGAGAGAAATCAGTACCATGGGTTTTACCTGTTTCCGTCCAAACCAGGCAAAACACTTGAAAAGAAATGGACCCACAAACCACAGGCAGCTAATCTCTGCTGAAGAATTCCAATTGTGTATCAAAGAGCCCACCTGTGACAAAATCGAATCTAGATGAGTGTATTTTGGTTTTGGTTTTTCAATGCTCATTAAAAAAATCTAAATCATGTTTCCTATGATACTTGGATTAATCACCTGGGTGTTAATTGCCCTCAGAGCAAACTAATGAATTTGGCTATTAGAAAGAAAGAAAAATTTACAATGAAGAGTAAAGGAAAGGAAAATCTCATCAGCATATGAAGTGGTGCCCGGATGACTTAGCCATCCCATTGCCACCAAGCTCCCCAAGGACAATGTTAGAATGTGATTTTAAAAAGAAAATCAAACAAAAAAACCTGGGAAAGATTTCCATTTGTCCTTACAGAGTTGAAGATAAAAATTGCCAGTCAACTGTAAAATTGTAACATCAATCTTCCGAGTCTTCAGGCTGCTCTTCTCTGTTTTCTCCCAAGGATTGTCAGTTTGGGGGTGTGAATGGCAACAAAACTGGTCACAATATACCTGGAGTACGCCAAAATGGCGGGAAAAGTATTCCCCATCCCACATGTGCTTAGGTGTGAATTTAACACTCTTCTTCTCAAGAAATGGGGTTGATGTTCCCTATTCTTAATCTGGGCATGCTTGTGACTGGAGCAAAAGTGATTTTTCCAGTCTAGGTGATAAAAGGTGATGCAGCATGTGCTTAATTTTCTTGCGTGCTTACTCTTGGAACCCAACCAGCAAGCCGTGCAGAAGCCTGAGTTTGTGTAGGTGTTTTGGCTGTCAGTTCAAGCTGAGGTCTCAGCCGAAAGGCATCATCAGCCACCAGATGCGAGAGTGAACGAACCTGTGGAAGATTGCAGCCCCCAACTGTCAAGTCACTAACAGCCTTCCAGACTTCCAAATTGGAGCCCCAGAAATTGTGGAGCAGAGACATCCTCACTAGGCTTTTTCTGAATTCCTGACCTACAGAATTTGGGGGCATAATAAAAAGGTGGTTATTTCATACTTTTAAGTTTGGAGTGGTTTCTTAAACAGCAATAGTAATAGGAACATTATCCAAGGTTAATCCCTCCATCTGTGCTCTGGATCCCATCTGTTTTGCCTCCTTGATCTCATTCATTTGTTCAATACATACTTATTGAGTACCTATTGTGTATAAGACACTGTTCTAGGCTTTGGAAATATAGTGATGAATGAGACAGTTTCCTGCCATGTTGAAACTTACAATCTATCAGATAGTACTAAGTGTTACATAGAGAATTAATGTGGGTGATGTGATAAGGAGTAATGGGGAGGCTACCTTGATTGATTGGGAGATTGAAGTTAGTTTTTCTGAGGAAGTAACTTATAAACTGAGACCTGAATGACAAGGAGCAGTTAGCCATAGGAAAGTCTGATGGAAAACCATCCCAAGTAGAGGGAAGAGCAAATACCAAGGGTGTAAAAGGAGAAAGGGCTCCACAAATAACAACAATTAAAAAGGCTGGGGGTAGGGCTTGTAGGGCTTTGTAGACGAGGATATGGAGTTTGAATTTTATTCCAAGAGAAATGGGAAGCCATCCGTGGTAGGCAGCCTCTAGGATGGCCTCCAATGGTCCCCCTAGTGAGAGGTCCCCCTCCCACTGAATATGGGCTGGACTTACTGACTCACTTCTTACAAATAGAATATGGTAAAATTCTCTTTTTACCATGTGGCTGAGTGGTTAAGTTCTCATGCTCCACTCCGTAGGCCCAGGGTTTCACCAGTTCGGATCCTGGGCGTGGATGTGGCACCGCTCATCAGGCCATGCTGAGGCAGGGCCTCACATAGCACAGCCAGAGGCACTCACAACTAGAATATACAACTATATACGAGGGGCTTTGGGGAGAAGAAGAAGAAAAGAAAAAAAAAGATTGGCAACAGATGTTAGCTGAGGCGCCAATCTTTAAAAAAAAAGTGATACAAATGGCAAAAGTGATGAAGTGTCACTGCCAAGATTAGGTTATAAAAGAGTTGAACGGATATTTCACCAAAGAAGATGTACAGATGAAAAATCAGCACATGAAAGGTCACCAATGTTATTAGCCATTAGGAAAATGCAAATTAAAAACACAATGAGATACTACTACACAACTATCAGAATGTCTGAAATTAGAAAGTTTGACTACACCAAGTGTTGGAAAAGATGTGGAATGACTGGAATTCTTTTACACTGCTAATGGCAATGTAAAATAGCACAACCACTTTGGAAAACAGTTTGGTAGTTTCTTAAAACCTACCATATGACCAAGCCATTCCTCTGCTAGGTATTTACCCAAGAGAAATGAAAGCATGTGTCCATACAAAGTCTTATACATAAATATTCACAGCAGCCTCATTTGCAATAGCGAAAAACTGGAAACAACTCAAGGTCTATCCCTAGGTGAATGGATAAACATTAAATTGGGGTATATCCATACAGTTGAACACTATGGTATTCATGCAACATGTCACGGCTTCACGAATCTCAATTATACTGAGTGAAAGAAGCCAGGAAGAAAAGAGTATGTACTGTATGATTCCGTTTATATTAAAATTCTAAAAAACGCAAACTAACCTATGGTGACCAAAGTAGATCAACGACTGCCTAATGATGTGGGGTGGCAGGGAGAGGCTGGGGGGAAGGATTACGAAGGGGCAGGCGGAAACTTTTGGGGGTGATGGATATGTTCATTATCTTGGTTGTGGTGATGTTTATATGGGTGTATTCATTTGATGTCACAACTTATCACATTGTCCACTTTAAATCCACAGAGTATAGCATGTCAGTTATACCCCCTATAAAGCTGTTAAAAGTGCCCCTCTAGCTTCCACCCTCTCTTCTTCTTTTGGAGATAAGCTTCCTAAAAGGCTTGTCCACACTTGGACTCCACATCCTCACCACTCTCACCAGTGCCGTGAACCTCCTCCTGGTTGTCAAACCCAGGGAGCAGGTTTGAGTCTTTCTCCTCCTTGCTGCATCTGACCCTGTTGACCATTTTCTCCTTCTTAAAGCTCTCTCCTACTGTGAATTCCATGCTACCAATCTCTCCAGGCTTTTCAGCTCTGGAGTTTTTGCTCTGGGGCTAGAATTAGAGTCAGGGCAAGGACTTTACCACCTGGATGACCTAACGTTTTCTCAGGTTCAACTTGTCCAAAACTGACCCCAACCCACTCTTCCTTTTTAAAATTCCCACTGTTTAATGGCATTCCCAGCCACATAGGTGCCCAAGTCAAAAACTAGGCATTCATACCTGACTATTCTTTTTCCTTCAACCCAACTGGTCACAAAATCCTACAGCCTATATACCCTCTTCTCTGCACACTCTCCCTCCTCCCACCCCATTCAGCACCTTCCCATACACCTGTCATTGCCTCCATTGCCTCTGTGCAAGCCCTTGAATGAACAATTATAATAACCTCCTAAAACAGCTTCCTACCTGTATCCTAACCTGCTCTTTTCCTCTTAATTGCTGTGAGACAGTTTTTTTCCCTTAAATCTAATTTCACTTCCTTCACTTGGAATACTGATTTGGGGAACACCAATGTCGATGTAGTGAAGCCTGGAAGTGTTTAATTCCACACTTGTTGGGCCTCTCAACACACAGAGATGATCTTTCCACCACGTTGGGATCACTGGACGGTGGGTGGGGGAGTGCGGCAGGGGGACGTGCAGAAGCATACCCAGTGTCTCTGCCCAGACTTGGCCATAGTGGCAGTGGTGTGTCACAGTGGTGGTAGTGTATGATACAAGCGTAAATGAAAAATTTAGCCTGACTCCTGCCACGTGGCAGGAACTTGGGCAGCAGAATGATGGCTGGTGAGAGGTTAGCCCCCAAGAGATTTTAAAGGAGAGGATAGGCAGATATCTGGACCACACAAGATCATTAGGAACAATGATCACCAATAAAAGGAGCTTGTGATGGTTAATTTTATTTGTCACCTTGGTTAGGTGATGGTGCCCAGATATTTGGTCAAACATTATTCTAGATGTTTCTGTGAAGATGTTTTTTGGCTGGGATTAACATTCAAATCAGTGGACTTTGAGTAAAGCAGATTACGCTTCATAATGTGGGGGGGCCTCATCCAGTTGAATGAGTTGAAGGCCTTAAGAGAACAAAGACGGACACCTCCCCCACCCAGGAAGAAGGAATTCTGCCTGCAGACAGCCTTCAGGCTTGAACTGCAACAGCGGTTCTTCCCCGGGTCTCCAGCCTGCTGGCCTACCCTGCAGTGATAATCGCCTGAGCCTTTTTTCAAAAATGAATCTCTCTTGAGATTCATTTTAAGGAATTGGCTCAAGTGATTACCTATATAGACACACACACACACCCTGTTGGTTCTGTTTCTCTGAAGAACCCTGACTAATACAGAGCCCAATAGCATCGATGGGTTAGGAAACTCAAGGCTTGTTTGATAACTGGACTTCAGAGTGAGAGAACTGACTAAGGGGAGAGCAGACTAGCCTTTGCTCTGCCCCTGCTATGTGCTGGGCACATGGAGAAGAGATGGGAACCAAGGGTCATAAACAAGTTTGAAGCAAATTCTATTTTCTTTCTTGTTTTGTTTTTAAGCATCATTTGAGAATGGAACATGCCAAACTTTCAAACAAACCATAGCAGCCATAGCTAATGAAAAATTAACAAAGAATGGCAAGCCTAAGACTTATTGAACCATAATGGCTGACATCTGTGTGCCATTAACCAACCCTCCTTTTCCAGTCAGTCCCCCAAACTGCTTGCTCGATGGGCAGAGCAGTGGGATTATCCCCACCTTACAGAGAGAGAGATGAGTGCTAGGACCTCCTGAGCCCCTGTCGATGGGCCACTCTCATCTGTCTGTCCCTCACAAACAACTGACAAGAGCCTGGCCAGTTAGGGAAGAGAAAGTAAGGGAGGGAACAGGGAATTGGAATTGGGTATGAGAAAAACAGAGTGAAAAAAGAGAAGAGAAAGAAACGGTTAAAGGGGGAGACACAAAAGTGGATGGGGCAGCTAGGGGGAGAATGTTTCTCTGCACAGAAATGAGAAACAGAAAGCTTCATAGGAAGCTTTGTGCTGAGGAATTCACAGATAAATTCTTCCTTTCCCTTCCGGCTCTAAAATTCTATCCTTCTCCAAAATGTCACACTTGCCCTCTTTGTATTTCACTGCAATTCCATTGCAGCAAAAGGTTTTCCTCAGCTACCCAAGGGTTTAGGCTGTAAAGTGCATGTACTCCACACTAAAAGTAAATTCTTGCATTAGTTATCCAAACTGTTTGAAATGAGGAACCACGTTTTCAGCTCATATCTCCCTCTTTATCAGCAAATAGTAATTTAAAGCCGTTTACTGGGGCTGTGGTTCCCCGGTGACAGACTGTGGCCTATTAAAATTAATCCTGACAGAAGACCCTTGCTGCTTTCTCCAAGCACATTCAGGCTGTGGGTTTATGAACAGGATGAACAGACGGCCCATCCCAGAGGGCTTGAGGGAGGAAGCATGTTAAAATGGCCGCCTGCGTCTTTGTTTGCTCAGCTGCCTGGAAAAACCAGGACGGAGGGAAATGGGATTAATCAAGGGGGCAGTTGCCCATGGAAAAAAAATAGGAAAACTCAGGAAGACTCTGGTGAGAAAATCTCAGCCAAATAAGGTTAAAGTTGGAGGGAAAGAATTCTCTCCTCTTCAGACTTTCACGTGGTTGAGTGCTGTTTGGTGACAAAACTCCCGTTTCAGGCCACCACAGTGTTTGATGATCTTTTTGATAGGGTGGGAAGAGGTAATTTGGAAAAAAACAATTAAATGTTTGATTCCCCAAAATTTCATGTAGTTTTAATTTTTAATTAGCAAATTTAATAAATATTATTGGTTAGATACGTGACTATTGGTTAGATATTGGTAGATATTAGATCATTGGTTAACTATTGAATCACTGATTGTGACTGAATAAGATCTTTCCATGATTTCTCATATGAGTAAATTCACAAACCAGAAAAAACATCCTTGAAAGATCACGTGTACTGATCTTT